TCGAGGCAAAAGGAAATTTTAGTCCTCATAGAGAATTTGTTGGATCAGGAAGAAATTTTCTGGTTATAGAGAGGGAGAGCTAACTACTTATTGCACGGAGACCGCAATACATCATTTTTTCATAATGTAGCGACGGCTAGGAAAAAAAGAAATAACATTAAAAAACTTCTGGATAACACCGGAGTGTGGCGGGAAGGTATAGAACTAAAGAATCATATTGTGAGTTATTTCTCAAATCTCTTCACTGCGGATGTTATTCAACCAAACAAGGATGTGTTATCTCTTGTGCGAAGAAGAGTGACCATGGAGATGAATGATGCCCTTCTCGCCCCTTACACTGTTGATGATGTTTGAAAGGCACTTTTTGATATTGGCGATTTAAAAGCACCTAGGCCAGATGGGCTTCATGCTATTTTTTATAAAAGATTTTGGCCTATGCTTGGGGATGATTTGGTTGATGAAGTCTTGAAAGCGGTGAACTATTGCGCTATCCCCGAGGGATGGAATGATACTGCAATTGTGATGATTCCAAAGGTCAATTCACCCGAGAAGGTAACTCAATTTAGACCTATTAGCTTATGTAATGTGGTGTATAAGATTATCTCCAAAATGTTAGCAACGCGCTTAAAGAGATTTATGCCTGATATTATCAGCCCGACTCAGAGTGCTTTTGTACCTGGAAGAATGATTACAGATAATGTTTTAGTTGCCTCTGAGAGTTTTCATACGATTAAGAAAAAGAGAGATGGAAAGGAGGGTTCATGCGCTATCAAACTTGATATGCATAAGGCTTATGATCGGGTTGAGTAGCCTTTTTTGAAGGGAATTATGTTGAAACTTGGATTTCAGGAGAGATGGGTTAACCTTATTATGCAGTGCGTCTCCACTGTCGAATACAAGGTCCAGATTAATAATGAAGAGAGTGAGAGATTCAAGCCTACGAGAGGCTTAAGACAAGGAGATCCTTTATCTCCCTACCTCTTCTTATTATGTACGGAAGGTCTTACCGCTCTTTTGGCGCATGCGGGGGAGAATGATAATTTTTCTGGAATAAAAGTGTGTAGAGAGGCCCCATCTATTACTAACCTTCTCTTTGCTGATGACTCATTGATCCTCATGAAGGCGAATCTTTGCAACGCGGAGACTTTGAAAGCTATCCTGGACTTGTACGGTGTTGCCTCGGGACAAATGGTGAGCGTTGATAAGTCTAGCATTTTTTTCAGCCCGAATACGAGAGTGGACACCAGGGAACAAATTTGCTCAATCTTGAACATCATGATCGAGGCTCTCAATGACAAGTATCTGGTTTTGCCAGCAAATGTGGGCGTAGATAAGTCCGATTGTTTTCAGCATTTGATCGATCGCATCGTCATGAAAATTAGCGGGTGGAAGGAAAAATTACTGTCTACATGGGGAAAGGAAATTCTTCTTAAGTCTGTTGTCCAATCCATCCCTATCTATGCGATGTCCATCTTCAAAATTCCTAAAAAAATTGTAAAGGAATAACTGACGCGATGTCGCATTTTTGGTGGGGTGATGACGACAACCATGGGATGATGCATTGGATGGCATGGTGGAAAATGTGTGTCCCAAAAAACTAAGGTGGTATGGGATTTCGTGATATCCATTGTTTTAACTTGGTGTTGCTGGCTAAACAGGCTTGGCGCCTTCTTGAGAACCCAAATTCTTTATGTGCCAGGATATTGAGAGCCAAATATTTTGCTGATGGAGACTTATTGAATGCAAAGCTTAAGAAGGGATCTTCTTTCACATGGCAAAGTATTATGTCGGGAGTTAGTACTTTGAAGAATGGTTACATTTGGCGAGTTGGAAATGGTCAGTCCATTCATATTTGGGACGATGCTTGGATTCCTAATTGTGTTACCAGGAAAGTCATCACTCCAAAGAGAGGTCATTTGTTGTCAAAGGTGTCGGACCTTATTGATCCCACTTCAAACAATTGGGATGAAGATCTCGTTAATCAAACTTTGTGGCCCATTGATGCTAATCGGATCCTCGCGATCCCTCTCCCACAATATGACATGACAGATTTTATTGCTTGGAATTACACTAAGAATGGGATCTTTTCTGTTCGCTCCGCCTATGTCGTTGAGTGGAATCACCAGTATGGAAGGAAACTTAGTTGATCTAACAGATTGGGACGAATAAATTTTAACCCAATTTGGCATAAGATCTGGAACTTATCTTGTCCAGCAAAGGTTAAAAAATTTATTTGGAGGGCGTTGCATGGCACTCTCCCATGCCGTGTTACACTAGCCAATAGACATATGAAAGCTTCGCCAATTTGTCCTTCGTGTTCGTCTGGGCAAGAAGATACAAAATATTTGTTGTTCCAGTGCCAGAAAGCTAAGGACGTGTGGAGAAGACTTGGTTTGGACAGAGTTATTTCTAGTGCTTGTGAAGTTGATTATGCTGGTGAGGCTGTCCTGAAATTCTTATTACAATTGCCAAACCAAGATTTAGCTATTTTGGGAACCTAGAATACGCGTGAGATGATTGTCATCACGACGTGGTATTTATGGTGGGAAAGACGTAAACTTGTACACAAAGAGAAAATTCAAGATGCTAAACAGATATCTATGGGGATTCAAGCTCTTACGACCAATTATGTTATTGCTTCCTCTCCTAATGCTTCCATGAAGAGGGGGGGTTGGAGTCGGCCCCCCGTGGGCTTTGTGAAACTTAATGTTGATGCTTCTTTTGATCATGACCTTCTTAAGGGAACGACAGGAGCGGTTCTCAGGGACGACAAAGGAAATTTTATTGCAGGGGGCTGCTTGAAAATTGACTGGTGTGCAGACGTTCTCATGGCGGAATCTCTAGCGCTCAGGTTTGGGCTATCCCTGGCGCAAAGGGCGGGGTGTAATCGACTTGTCATCAATTCTGATAACTTAGAGGTCATCGAGACTATGAATAATGGAGGACGGTCGGCGGGAGTGGCGGCGGCAATTTTTGATGATTTTTATTTTATTGCTTGTGATTTTTCTATGTCCAAATTTAAACATTGTAATAGAGAGGCAAATAAAGTAGCTCATGAACTTGCCAGGTTTGCTAGATTTTCTGATACTGTTGATTGGTTTGAGGAGCCATTGAATGAAATTGTACCCTTCTTCTTAAACAATGTATCCGTTATTTCGATTGAATAAAGTTGTTATGTTTTCAAAAGAAAAATCCAATCACTCTTTTACAGTGGTCTATAAACCTTTGCTAATAATTTGGGTAAACATATTAAAGCCATATTATCTTGCTAGAGAAAGTGGATTATCATGTATCATTGTATATTAGCAATACCATATCCCACCAACCAGACTCAGATTCGGGTCGGACTGTGTTAAGATGTCAAAATTTTCTTGCCATACCCTATATTACTGGATCCAAAAATGTTTCAATCGGAACCTGTTCTAACAACTTTCACCCTTAACTGGTAATAGCTACAAGACATGCAGTACAGAGAAAGCATAATTCATCGGTATGCAAAGACATCCTTTTGGACAAAAAACACTCTTGGTTTTACATTCACATCAGTGGAAGTACAGGTCACGCATGTCACTGGTGAAAAACTGACTCCCTCGTAAAGAAGACATCCTCAACTACAAAGTTGTTCAGACTTTGAAAACAAGAAAACAATTTTCTGAAATCTTTAAAAGCATCTCTAGCAGACCCCTTATTTTGCGAAACTGTAAACTCGGTTTACAGATTGCGTGGGGGCGTCTATATAGGCTCAAAATCATCACGGCAGATCAGAAACTGTATCCAAAAACATAAAATTTATAATAAAAAAACATGTTTCACGCGAGAAATTTAAGCAAAAACTCGCCAGAGCATAGATCATTCTTCTTCACATAGGGGCAGAGCATTCGTACACAGCATAAATATATTACATAAAAGCTCGCCGGAGCTACGCCTTCATGAAGCGTCGGCGCTCAATTGGAGTCGAAGGAGTCGCAGTCGATGAAGAACTTTGCCTGCTCCGCTTTCATGAAGCGCAAGTCCGCCTCCTTGGACGTGTGCGCCTACGACGCCGCGACGCCCGTCTGGAGGAACATGTGCTCGTACTCGAGCTCGCGGCAGTGGCGCTCTTTGGCCTACTTCAGCTCCCTCGCTGACCGCTCCAGGACGATGCGCTCGAGGTGCTCCTCCTGCCCCGGGGGGAGGTAGTCCTCAGGGCCGATCACGCGAGGCGGCGGCCTCAAACTTGACGGCGCGCGGCCCGAGTTCCTCCGGCTCTCTCTTCATCGGAGTGAGCCGCGAGCTCGAGGCACCCGCGGACGAGCTTCTCACGGCAGAAGAGCCGAAGGAGACGTGGCGGTGGCGGGCGAGCTAGCGCTCCAACTCGACCAACTCGCGTCGGTCGAACGTCGGCAGCAGCCGGCTACCGCGGTTGAGCCACCTCCGGCTTCAGATCTGGCACAGCAACGACGCTCCGCCTCATCCCCGAAGCTGCCATAGCCATCCATGGCTTTTTCAAGCTCACCGACGACAAGAAATTGGGTAGAGGAGGGGAATCGCGGCGGATGCAAAGGGGAGGAGGGGAATCGCGATGGAGGCGGATAGGATTTAACCCATATCCGAGCGGTGAAACCCCATATATACCAGTACGGTGAGAGTTTTTGCGGGCCGCGGTAAATTATTTACAGGCCGGGCCGCGGATGCGGTTTTTATTCTGGCCAAAAAAAGGGGTCAAACCCGTATAGTTGCAAGAATTATACGGGTCCGCCCCTTTCAAGGGGTCTGCTAGAGATGCTCTAAGCTTGTTGTCATGGAAAGCGCACGCAATATAGATAAATGATAATTCAACATCATACAACATTCAGGCATGGATTGTTCACGTCATATTTTTCACATATGATGCTGGAAGGTAAGCTCATCACAAATCCAGTTCCAGTTAAGCTCATAACAGAAGGGGCTTCCCCTTCCTCAGGGCAAAACACAAATCTTGTTGACACATCCCATCTAGAGATACATTCAGAAACAACCTCTCACTGAACAGTCATTGAGAGAATCTGGCGTGCAAGCCCAGGGTCCTGCTGAAGTAGCTCTCTAATGTTGTTCTCCACTTCTCCCAACTGTTTCTCAAGATATTCCTTGGAAGTCTAGCCATCATAAAAACCAATGTGAGTGAGGATCCATTTTACCCTTCAAATTTCGACACAACAGAACAAGGGTCATTCGCAGGCATACCTGCATCGATGATATTGCAGTCTCACTATCATTTAGCTTTTTCTCTTGCTCATTTACCATAAGTGATCTCGGCTCCAAAATAAACCTACAAGTAAAACGATGTAAAAACATGATATTATAAATACAGTTACCATACAAGAGCAGAGCAGTAAGCAGGCCCCTGGCAGAAGCTGATCTTCCAGATTTACTTACACTTTACCTGTAAACAATGAGAAAGCCATCAAAACCAGCAGGAAGCAATGCATATTTATATCCAATTCAAAATTGGATGATTGCAATTGCATCATTCGATGTGCAATGATGAAATTCAACCCAATGTGTGCAAAGGAAAACTAATAAACTAAATTTAGTCACCCAACTGAAATGTTTTGTACACAAACAGAAAGCCAATGTTCAACCAGTATAGCAATGGCTGCTAGCCACGCAAGACAAGCAATGGATCAATGACAATTAACAAACCTACAGCAAAAGTTTTCACATTAAACACCACCCGTATTCACTTGTCACCATTCTGGTAGGTCCACCAATTTCTTCTCCAAGTACACAAAAATTGAAAATAAACTACAAACTACAATCATTGCAAAAAAGGACAGATTTCTAGCTAGCAATAATAAGATGCAGATTCATACTCCTCTACTTAGCTGAAACACAACATTTTTTTAGTGCATCGCTTCATGATATTATCAGCTGAATTACGAAGACAGCTAATTCCAGAGAGTAAATGATGAAAGCATCACTGTACTTCGTATTGCGACCTGGGTGGAAACCACATGAAAATCATGTTTCAAAGTTGTGGTTGCCTACTTTTTAGCTGCCTGAAATTAGTGGGAATCTTAGTCACTTTTTTATAAGCTGGCTTCTCCTCTTGTGCTGCCGTCATCCCTCCCACGCCGCGTCGGCTGACAGGCGGATCTAGGCAGCATCCTCACTGACAACCTCTGCACGCCACGGCGCCGCCATGGGTCCACAAGCACGAGCGCGTCCTCCTCTCCGAGATGAAGCTACGCAGGCGTCCCTTCCTGCATTCCTAGCTCTCTGTCCAAGTTTGTTGTTTGCTTGCTTGATCTTTTCTCTGGAATGCAGGTGAAATATATCCCTCTGGCTCAGAGTCCCTTGTTTCTCCTCTGTGAGTTCAGGGCATTTTTTTTGTTGCCTTGTTCTTCCTCTCCTGCCTCTTTTCCCCATCCCTCAGATATGGGACGAAAATGGTGTACTTCTTTGGCATGTTTTTCTTCCGTACTTGCCCGCCCAGAATTATGCCTGATGTTCGATTCTGTGGTTTGGCTGGTTCTCTTATTCCACGGTTTGATTTTCCTTTACACCACGACCGTGATTTTTTTAGTTGTACTTCCCCCTGTGAATTGTGGGGAAAAAATCATTTTTTACCAGGAAAAATGGATTCATTATATATGTGCATGAGAGTCTGCTTTTGTTTATCAATAGACAGCTAGCCACAGGCAGCACTAGCATGTTGGAAGCTGAGTAGTGAATAAAACAATTTTACTTCTGGTGTAGGTTCTGCTGGAACCAGGGAAGATAGAAGAGTCTCAAACAAGGGCAATGTTAACCTTCATGCCGGTACTAACAAAAATGCACTGCTGAATGTTGCTCTTGGGCTGCCGGTTTGTTCGCTCGTTGTTGCATGAATTTATGTAAGACTTACAGCTAATTGTCTGGTGTATAACTGTGAACTATTCTTGTCCTGCTATACAGAATATCTGGGTGCAGTATATGACATGGCATACTTGTGTCAATGGTCCTGTTATGCTTCATGGTTTGGACGAAGGTTCACTAGATCTGACCTGGTAGACTGGGTATTATCAGGTAAGTGCAGCATCCAGTAACTACTTTGTTGAATAATTTAAGATTAAGTAAGAAAGAAGGTAAATACCTTTATCCATGGTTGGTCGAAAAGGTGAACAGATGAACCTGAACTCTTAGAAGTCCATGCTAGGTTGGTCTAAGAGAGGTGCCATGTATTGAATCAGTGATGTGTGTGGTGCTGCCAGGTCCCATTTTCATGCCTGTTATAGTCTTTTGGTTATGTAATCCTGCTTTGTTTGCTATTGCCATACGTGTCATAGGAGTGGTTAGCACAGCAATATAGCATTAAATGTCACGGCCATGACCTAACCAAGTAGCTGATGATTCACGCCTTCTCCACAGTTCTATTTGCCTTTATGGTAGTGGTAGCAGGTTGGAAGATTTTAGAGAGCCACCCGCCTCCTGTGGAGCACTGGAGCCTAACAATCGCAACTTTATGTTCAAACTTCTACCAAATTAGTGTATTGTACTACTTCCTGGCATGTCTTACTTTCCTAAGTTTGGGTGCGATTGTAGACTGATAATCATGCTGAACTGATAATATTACCATGGCAGAAAAAAAAATGATGTATCATGTATTAGTTTCAATTTCTAAGTGAACTTGGCTCAGTTGTTCCGTGTAATTTTCCCAGTTAGGATTTCTCTTTGTTTTTATACTGCTCTTATATATAACTCAAAAAGAATTTGTTGCTCTCAGTATATATGTGTTTCCTGGCTTACATATCGTCTAATTACCCGTGGTAACACCGTAACACCAGTGAGGATTTTGTTGGTGCCCCAGCGCTTGCAATGATTGGACCGCTGGAGTTATTCAGAGAACAATTTATTTGAAGCTGAAATTGTTAGCAAACTGCCTGCGGGCGGGCGCGAAGGTGCGCCTTTGGCACTAATAGGCAAAAATCTTGGGAGTAATTTCTACCCTGACAGAAAAGAAAGAGAATAGCAAACTACGCAGGAAAACAAATAAAAAGATCAAGATTGAAATTATGCACATACTCCCTCCATTCCTAAATATAAGTCTTTTAGAGATTTCAATGTGGACTACATACGAAGCAAAATGAGTGAATCTACACTCTAAAATATGTCTATATACATCCGTATGTAGTCCATATTGAAATCTCTTAAAAGACTTATATTTAGGAACGGAGGGAGTAGATTACAGGTAGCTTGCAATACTCCATAACGTACAAGAACAAAGTGCAACTATTCTATGATAATCTTCAAAGGATGAATTATAAAGTGTCTACAGAGCAAATTAAAATGTGTGCAAGGCTGGGTGCAGCTTGGAGATCTGCCTATGGATGCTAACTACCTTTTCTTTTAGCAAATGCTGGCTGATTAGCTTATGTTTACTGCTGGTGGCTAATTAGCTATAGATTTGATCCAGCAAGCGTAATCTATTTAGGCGACACCCAAATGGGCCATACAACCATTGTTAATGGGCTTCAGAGGCTGGAAACAATGGGCACCCCGCCAATCGCAGGCATAACAGGGTTAAAGGGCAACAAATAGACTGAGAAAAAAAATCAGCCCCTGAAATTAGCATAAAGTGTAAAAGGTATCCAAAAAAATCAAAACACAAAGTATGTTGGGGAGGTGAATTTCTATAAGCATGTAACATCTCAGGCTCAAAATCAAATTCATTTGGGAGGTATTAATAGAAACAAATTCAGAAAATAGTGGTGAATAGTAAAACACCACTAGATGAACTTGTTTTTACATACCTCCAGAATGGATATGAGTTTGAACTAGAAATTTCACATGAGCATCTCCTCCTAACAAGCTGTTTTCTTTTTACAATTTCAGAACTTCCAAATGTGGTTTCCATGGAATTTTTCATCATAACTTGGTTACCACAGGGTATTTTCTCCACTGCATCTAAGGACAGTTACCACAGGATATTTTCTCCACTACATCTAAGTAAGTACAGTTTTGGACACATTTGGCAAAGGCATTGGTCAACAAATTTCGAGCAGAAATGACAAATAGCTTCGATGCATCCATTAGAAGAAAAGTAATTCTTACCAATGGCCTTGTAAGTGTTCGTATCATCAGGTAATTGGCTAAGTTCCTCCAGTGTAAGATAGGCACGCTTCTTTTCACTCTCTTTAGAACGCATCTGAGTTTGTAGCTGATGAAAGAAGAAAACTGTTGTAATAAATGTTATCGGTCGGGGAATCTTGGGCACAAGTATATATGCTAGAGATACTGGAGGAATTTCTGACAGAGACACCCATTGCAAGGATAGCCACCACCGAGCAAGAAACCCAACAAGATAACATAAATGATCTATTTCAGCAATCTAAATAGCCATCAACTCAATAAAATCCCAATAAGATAACAAGATTCATATTATCATTATTTATGGCATGCCCATATTGCACAAAGACTAAAACAATGTGATAACATTGCGTGTGCATAATGGCTCAAATATATTTCAGCAATCCAAAATGTATCAACTTCTTATTCCACCGATGTTTCAAACTAAGGGCCTGTTTGGGACTGCTCCGCTTCATTAAAATCAGTTTCAATCCATCAAATCCACTTTGGAGCAGTTTCATACAGAAGCTGTAGCACCAGCAAAGAGAATGTTTGGCTTCCATCTAGCTCCAGCTTCAAGAATGGGAAATTTGGTGGAAAGGATCTATTTGATTGGACAAGGGGGGAGAAACGAAGGGGTATCCACTTACTGGTGGCAGCGGTGGGTAATTTCCCCACAACTCCAGCTTCTAGAGTTTTTTGGAGCACCCCCTAAAGAGCTTCATAAAAAATTGGGAGCTGTACCCCAGATTCTAGTTTTTTTTGCAGAGCGGCATATCGTGGAGCTACCCCGTTTGACTTGTATTTTCTGGAGGGGAGCTGAATTTTAAGGAGCAGAGCAGTCCCAAACAAGCTCTAAGGTAAAAGTTAGAACATACTGTAAAATATATATGTTAGGACAGTTGGAAGGTACTCCCTCCGTCCTATAATGTAAGACGTTTTTTAACACTAGTGTAGTGTCAAAAAACGTCTTACATTATGGGACGGAGGGAGTACTTATCATTCATCGCTTGAATAAAGATTATGCTCATTAAGGTTGGCATTTACTATCTTTATGTACACAAGAATTATTTCTACAAGCAATGTACAATATAGCTCAGCCTTTAAAAATGGAGAAGATAATCAATACAGCTTTGAGCGATACACTGGCAGTCTGGCACCAATTAATCCTGCAGTAATATACCCCGAAAAGCCAAAAAATACTGGGTCTAGACTAGAAACAGAAGAATACCACACCAATTATTATATCATTCAGGAAAAAACAGATCATCTCACAATCCATGGCCCATGTACAATTTTGGTCCTCCTCTGTTCTAGCCAGGGTACTGGATGTCACATAATAGAGTACAACAAGAAATGCACCAGTGCTAATCACAGCAAAGAAAGCAATGTGAAAACTAGATGACAAGAAATAGATCACCGTAAATTATCCTTAGCTAAACAAAACAGCAAAAAAGCTTTTTAATAAATTAAAGATGTGGTCCAGCGGAATCCAGAGTAAGGAAATATTTGTGTTCCCTCACAAGAACTCAAAATATTTCCATTCCTTTCTCCGAAATGATCATTTCCTCAGCTATACTTGAAATGAAGTAACTCAACATATAATGCCAACTAATTATAATGAAGGTAGGATCTGATGCAGATTATGATTATACATCGGTGGAACTACATATATGTATGGAAAACTAAATAATCAAACGTTTTCCCTATTTTTCTGTTTTTTATCAAAACATTCAACTGATCAATCAATTTCTGATGTAAAGGGAGTGTTAGGCACCCAATTTTGCAAGAATCAATACATCAGAAACACAATTGCTTTTAGTAGTTTAAATACAAAGAACATCAGGTAGAATTATGAACATCTGCTGCTGCTGGCTAATGCAGCGAAATATGGCCTATGGAATTAAGTGTCATTTAGCGAACTGAAAAGCCAGCTCAATAAAATCAAAATCAATTACAGACATTTGCTGGGGGGCTATCTAATGCAGTATGAAAGCTTATCGTAGTGAGTGTCAATGAGCAAACTGAAGAGTCGGCTCAATGATACAAACATTGTTGGGTAGAATCACAATCAAGAAACAGGCAGCAATGCTGTTCGAATAACCACCAAAAGCATACCGCACGGGCACAAGATTCCAGCGCACGAATCTAGGAAAGGGGTTTCTAGCA